ACATTTCATCGGCGACCTGGTCGCTCACTGGCTCGCCGGTAGACGACTTCGTCGCCGGTCGGGACGGTATCTGGGTCTGTCTCCTTTTATCACACCAACACTGCAGGAATCCTTTTCAGGGCTTTTGGTGGTGGAAAATACTAAGCCCTTTATATGGCACATATAAGGCTGGCGTGCTACCTAAGTTGGTTAACCCAGCTGCGCGGCTACTGGGTGACAAACTCCTTGTGGTCCGAGTTTACGCGCGGGGGTAGGAAGAAAAGCCAGATTAACGGTAACTGATTCATAGAATCATGGGTTCTGGATTTAAACAAAAAATATGGTCCACGTAACATAGTCACAATTATAACCGAAAGCTTCCCTTCAAGAATGCTGACTGAACGTGACGATTTTTTCCCCTTAAAAACCCATGATGAAAAGACCATGTTCACGCCGGTGGTACACGGAACAGATGAGTCTAGATTTATGTCAACAGACCAATTTGCACTCGGTAGGTTACGCGATCACTATCACGCGGGCCGCTTTTACTTCCCATTACATTAGGTTAGTCGCGTATCCTTAACAGGATGTTGCAGAACCAACCCCAACAGCCCCTGGCTGTTGTGTGGTTTCTCTAGGCAAATTTACGTCCAGTAGTTTGCCATTGCTTTCTGGACGGTCAACTTTTTTGATACCACTGTCAAAACCAACACAAGGCGCATGGCCTGCAGCTGGCATCGGACCCGGCATCCCGGCATTACGGAGCGTTCGCATCGACTTAGCCACAGAGCCGACTCCCATTACATTACTTGGTTCACCTCGGCACACAAACACAAAATTCGACACGATGTGGACTTGAACCCAAGACAGGCAGACTAGAGTCCAGCCATTATACAACTGTGGTTACCTATCACCATCATATGCTATGCTGACGTTGGACAATCAGGATGCATGCCTATATGCAGGACTTTTTTTTTCTTTGAGGAAAAAAAAAAAAAAGGGGGACCGGGACTCACCGCAAAGTTTTGGTAAAATTTCTGGTCACTAACATTTCTTTATACTGAAAACAGTTGAGTTGATTCAAGAACCGACATTACAGCACTCGTGGCATTCCCATATCGCTTCGTACCCATCCTCAGCAGCCACTGAAGAGTTCCGATATTAATGGTGCGAGTAGCATTCTAATTAAAAGTCCGTCTTGCCTTTCCTCTGAGCCTCGAGCATCTCCCAGAACCTCTCGTCAATCCCTATTGCATCAATCTCACCAGACTGTAGGGATCTATCTGCTCCTCCGAACTGTACACGCTCTCCCACAAGGCACTAACCACGTCTGCCTTATCATGCATCAGTCAGCCAGTCTGTCCGCCTGTTCATTTCCTAACACATCGGCCTATCCCGGTGAAAAAATCCAGACAATACTCCTAACCCATGTCCTCCGCAGCGAGACATGACACTCTGCACGAAGCATGCCTGTCCCGATCTTCCTCAGCACGCTTTCTGAGTCAGTGTTACAATCACAATTTTTGTGTGTGTAGTGTTCTCTAACCAGCGAAAAGCTGCAGTGACCGCCTTCACCTCCATTCTTAAGCTGGATGTTGTGGTATCATATGCTAGGCTCTCCTGCACCAAACGTCGACCATTAACTAACTCAAAACTGTAGGTATTTAAGTTCTGGGCACTGACATTCCTTTATATTAAAAATTGTAAGTATTGAAAGTTCCTACACTTAAAATTGTAAATGCTGAAAGTTCTAAGTATTGAAAATGTAAGTAATGAAAGTTCCGACAGCTGAAAGTTTTAGGTACAGAAAAGTGTGTGTTGAGAGTTCTAGGTTTTGAAAGCTTTGGGTATTAAAAGTTTTTGGGAACTGAAAGTTCTAAATATTAAATTTGTGAGTATTTCTTCTTCTTGTTTGCTTTCACCGTCTGTATACTTCGCCAGAAAGTTCTGGTTGTTCGTCCACCTCTAGACTTTAGTCTTGTTCTAGAACATGAGCACTGCATGCACACCAGTTTTACCGATCTGACATATTTACATGCAGATTGTTGGTGCCTTGACTCTCATATAGATGCACTTCAACTTTGGAGGAAGCCCCCAGTTAGTCGACTTTACGTCATGCTTGTAGGGTAAGCAGATATTCTATTCTTGTTTTCCCCACAATGGGGCCCAGGATGTAAGTATTCAAGTACCAAAAATTGACTAGCCATTTAAAGTTCTTAGTATTAGAAGTTCACATATTGAAATTTTAGAGATTAAACATGGTAGTCACTAAAACAACATTCACATTTTAATTCCCCATGTGAATTCTATGGCCCCATGGAAATGAGCATTTTTTGTTCTCTTTAAGGTCACCGGGTAAAGGCGCTCATTCGCTTGACATTGGTATGAAAACCTTAACTATTGTCATCAAGCAAATAAGAAATGAATCAATATGCTCTAAACTGCACTGAATAGGTGAAGATAAAACAAACAGTTGAAGAAACAAATTAAAACTCAGTCCCTACGAATATCATGATCCAAAAGAACCTAAATTTTATCAATTACAATTTCAAAAAATAAATTATGAACAGATGTTACTCATTTTGTAGACTTTCAAGTGTTTCAATCAGCATCTTTTCATCACGTTTCAAAAATTAAATAACATCTTTGAGGTTTCATGCTTTGATAAAAATATAAATGTTTCATGGCTAGCGAGTAACTTTCACAGTAACATTTCTAATCAATATCATGTGCCATGTCGATCAGCCTTGGCCGTTATCCCACCACGATCAGCAGAATCATGGGTCAGGTCAGTGCTTTATCACGCCCCACCCAATCAACAAAACCATCAAAGTATTTATTTCCCCAACTTTCCCTTGCAACTTGTCGATCAGTCTTGCCAATTACTAAAGTTCTCATCTCTGAGTGGGTTCCGGGGTCCCACTGTGAGGAAAATAAGAATACATTCACTGCCTCCGCAACAAGCATGTCGTAAGAGATGACTAATTGGGAGTTTACTTCACAGTTGGAGTGCATCTGCCTGAGAGGCAAGGAACCTACAGTCTGCATACAAAAAAAGTCAGATCTGTAAAACGGATGTGCATACAACACTCGGGTTCTGGAACCAAGTCTTAAGTCCAGAGGTGGATGAACAACCAGAACTTTCCGCTGGAGTTTACAGCCGGTGAACGCCAAGAAGATTTAAGTTCTTCCGTCCATCCCTTTTCTTAACATGTCCAAAAATATTGATCGTTTACTTTTTATTTCTCTAGTTTAAGGGTTTCGGCTATTCTTTAATCCATGGTATTCTGTGCAGCCTTCTCAACAAGAACAAATTTCCACTGCCAGTGCCGATTGGCGATGCTAGTTATGGATAGATACAGTGAAGTAGTCACAGGGATTCTTCTTCTTCTGAAAGTTTATGCTGTGCGGCGTTGGTAGTCATGTCTATCCACAACCTTCTGTCTCGTGTATTTTCAATCAACTCTGAAAAAGATGATCCTCCATGTCATGATGTCAAAATGCCCAGCATCTTTTCTCTCGGTCGACCTCTACTTGTTCTCCCCTTCAACTTTACTACCATCACAAGATACTCCAGTTTCCTCCTTCTCATCACATGACCAAAGAATACAGACTATCTCTTTCTGATATGGGCACTCAGTTGTTTTTGTGAGTTTCTTTCAAGACGTCTTCATTACTCAGGGTATTCTCATCATTTGTCTATAAAACCACATCTCCGCAGCTTCCAAGTAATTTTACACTAATCTACCAACTGTCCATGATCCCCTTCCATAGATCACAATAAAATTTATATAGCTTTTAAGAATTCTCTTTCTCATCTCAATTCATGAAGAAAAATTGCTCAAAATATTCTTCATTTTGTAAAACACTGCCTTTGCTTAAGCAATTCTACATTTACAGAGATTCACTATAATATTATTCATGAGGGAATCTGGCTGATACATGTCAAACTTAGAGAAAAGGTCATATGGACATACAATCAAACAGCTACTGGTATCATCTTCAATGCACTCGCTGGCTGTAATCTCTGGCTCTTCGTCTACTTCTGGATCCAAATCTTGTTCCAGAACCTGAATTGTGCGTGCTCATCCATTTGAAAGGTTTGGCTTATGTTTATGCAGACTGCCGGCTTCTCGCTTCTTAAGCAGACGCACTCCGATTTCAAAGGAAACATGTTGGATGCGTATGCTTTACAGGACGTTGCAGAATTGACCCCAGCATTTTTCGTCTGTTGTGTTTTTTTAAGGCTAATTTTACGTTCCGTAGTTTGCCACAGCTTCCTGAACAGTCAGCTCTTGGTACAAGTGTTGAAAACAAAAAACCGTCCGCAGCTGGGATTAAATCCAGCACCCCAGCATTACAAAACTTGTTTACAAAACCTAAGCCACAGACGCCGATGTCTCAAAGGAAAGATCTCTAATTAGTCAACTTTTATGATATGCTTATTAGAAAGCAGTGGGGTCTTATCCCACCCACCCACAAGGCAACCCACACAGGAACAGGTACCATCAAAACTGGAACAATGAGCTGGCTGCTGAAGACGAGGCACATATGGGAGAGCTCCGAGTGCTGTGATGACTGTTCTAACTCAACTCATTATTCATCATCATCATCACATACTCTGCCAGATGGTGGAATCATTCAAGTTTCTCCACAAATTTTAGCCCTTAGGATCAACTCTATTGCTGATATTAAACAAACATATGTGCACACGTACGTACATATATCAATGAAAACAAACAATATCAAGATATAGCCCCACCCCCCCCCCCCCAAAAAAAAAAAACACTGATCTGAATCCACTAAAAAAACACACCAAAAAAACATAACTGGCATTATAACACAGGTTTAGGCTCTCCACGCCCCTTTACATAATGGCAAGAGTTGATCAGGCAAAGAGATAATGCCCACCGAAAGATTAACAACGGATGTAACTGACAAATATGTTATGTGTTAACAAAAATAAGAGAAACCAAGCTGCACCGAATAACAAATAATAAATTACTATTTATTTTCATGGTCTAAACCTTGAGGGCAGCTCTCAGTTTTGCCGACCTAGATCTAGGATTCCTCCAGCATTCATCGGGAGAGGGCTCCTTAACTTTGCGAGACAATGGCTGCCATAATTTTGTCATGAAATCTTCTTGGATGGTCTTGACATCAAAACTGACATTTGCATTTCTAAAGTGGTCGTGTATTGACATATTGGGGTCTGCATTAATGTCAATGTCCAGAAAATGCCTCTTGACGATGCGGTCTTCCAGAGAGTGAAAGGAAATGACAACACAGCGTCCCTGAGGCTTCAGATAGTGCCTGGCCACCTCGAGGCCATTGTTAATTTCATTCAGTTCATTGTTTACGAAAATACGGAGTGCTTGAAAGCTTTTTGTGGCCACGTGTGCATGATGGGATAGCTTGTCCTGCGTGAAAACGCCACTGAAAAGAGAATAAAAAGATACATTCCATCAAGGGTAATTAATATACTTCTTCATTTGCCTTAAACTTTTTAACTCAGACTAAGCACAAAACCAACACTTCTGGTGGGGTCCAATTCCCCATAAACGCCAATGTTCTGACTTGTCAACAGTGACCTATTTACGAATCATGTAGTTAGTGCTCTTAGCAGTCACCGTGGTGTAGCAGCTAGACACTCGCCTGCGGATCTGAAGGTCATGGGTTCAGGTCCTGAAAGAACCAGACTTTTGTCAAAAAATGTCCTCGGCTCCCAGGTTGCCCTAGCCTCGAATGGGTACCAGGTGCAGTCCTGGGAAGTAAAGGCGGGCGGTACAGGGTTAACCACATCACACACCAAGTGCCAATTGATCTTTAAAATACAGATCTAGCCCTATATACCAAATACACCTAAATGTGTGGAAAAGAGGCCCTATAGTTTACTATATTTAGTGCTATTGGCTGTTGACTTGCTTGCGCAAATGTTCAGGAGGTTGCATTAATTAAAAATTGTGTGTGGGTGTGAGTGTGTGCGTGGGGAAGTGAAAAAAAAAGGGGGGGGGGGGGCATTTGAAAAAAATTTATAAGCCTATTTGACATCAAATTTTCTTATAAGTCCCAGCAATACTTGTCACAGGATGAGTCACCAGAAACATGTTTGCTAAGCCCCGGCAAAAGATTCCATTCTTCACTCTGATCATGTTTGTTGATTACTTTCTCCTTATATCCTTATAAACAACTGTAGACAAATCAATTTTAAACGGATTTATAAGTGACCTGCATACAAATCCTTCTTCTTCTTCTTGGTTTACCATCTGTAAGCTCCAGTAGAAAGTCCTGGTTATTCCTCGCTTTAGACTTTGGCCAGGGCTGGGTTTTGTGTGTACGTCTGTTTTACTGGCTTATTTGTGTGCTGTTGGTTGTTCCTTGCCACTCGTGCAGATCCATTCTGACTTCAGAGGAAGCTCCCAGTTAGTTGACTCCTACGACATGCTTGCTGGGGAGGCAGTAGGTCTATTTTCTGTTTTTACCAAATGGGGCCCCAGAACCAAAGGGGAGGGGAAGGAATATCTTTTTTAAAAGGATCCCTTTCCAGCAAGCAAACAATGCTTTGCTGTAGGTGTCCCTGGGGTGAGGGGGTTGAAAGGGTGGACGGCAAGCTGTAAATGAGATTAGTTTGACAATTTGAACCCTGATGCTTTCTACTTCTTAATTAAACCTCACAATATCTGTCACGACGGGTGGAGCATCCATGGGTATGCCAAAAATTATTCTTTTTCTTTCTTACTTTTGCCACTAGGTGCTCTGTGTTCCTAGGCATCGTCGTTTAACAGACAATTGGTGGTCAAGCCAGGGTGCGCTCAGTTGCCTGTGTAACGGTTAAAAGTCTAGAAGGTCAAGCCAGGGTGCGCTCAGTTGACTGTGTAACGGTTAAAAGTCTAGAGGGTCCAGCCAGGGTGCGCTCAGTTACCTGTGTAACGGTTAAAAGTCTAGAGGGTCAAGCCAGGGTGTGCTCAGTTGCCTGTGTAACGGTTACAAATCTAGAGGGTCAAGCCAGGGTGCGCTCAGTTGCCTTGTGTAACGGTTAAAAGTCTAGGTGGTCAAGCCAGGGTGCGCTCGGTTGCCTGTGTAACGGTTAAAAGTCTAGAGGGTCAACTACATTGCACTGGGTTTGATCCTATCTGGTTCAGTCTCTTTCTGCAGAACAGCTAGCTGCCTGCTGAGAGTGTCACACAAAGCATGAACACTGCAGCTCCCGTGACGATCTACAGGGGTCTGTAAAAACTGCATGTGTAAACCAAATGATGCAGCTGTGAAACAATCCCACGACCTTCACAGAGTAAGACTTGACCACTTGGGCTCTTAGGCAACTTCCTTAATCCATCTTCTTCTAGGTATCCCTCTGCCTTTTGGTGTTCCCATTTTCATGCTGTACACTCACGCTGTCCTGATCATTCTCACCAGGTGGCTAAAGTATTATCCAGAATGCTAAGTTGTCCAATTCTGCAATTAACTATAAATTGTTAAATGAATTTTCCGAGAATCAGAAAAAAAAAGCAGAATAATTACATTAGAACAAAACAAGTTGTGGTAGCACAAATGCCATTCAGTGTGGCCATCTTATGTTTGAATCCCTCTCAATGGAAGGGTTTTAAAAAATCTGACCAGGATTGCCAAGTGAGTCCAGCCACAAATAGGTACAGAGAAATATTTTGCAAAGTAAAGGTAGACTCAAGAGTACTGTGTTTGCATATCAGAACATAATCAACTTCTCTACCATAATTCACACATTAAATGACAAAGCCAAACACTAAAAATGAGTATGAGGAAAACAAAAGAATTAAACTTATAAGATATTAAATGATAAAGACAAAAAAAATCAACTGGGTGTGCTGGCTCAAAAGGGGCACATATTGCAGTCTAACTGTAAACCCCACAAAATGTACCAATCATCCTTTTACAGCAACCACAGAAAGAAAAAAACGAGCAACGAAACATGTAACCATCAGACAAATACAAAAACACACACCAAAAACAAGAAGAAGAAGAAGAAAAAACAAAGCAACGACACACACACATGTATGTTAGATTAATGCCCACCTGTTGAAAGCACCCAATATAATATCTGCTAGCTGCTTGGTCCTGGAAAATGTACCAAATGTGTACCGAGCCTCAACTATTATGTTTGCTATTTGTTGTGCCTTTTTCTCCTCACCATACTTCTTTAAGATGTGCGCCAGGTCCCGTGGACTGAGAGTGTTTACAACATCAGCTGCTGTCGGGCTGTCAGGAAACCTGTATAAATGTTATGAAAGTCAGGCAGGGGCTGTAAAAGTCATAGTTAGTTGAGTATCTATTACTTCTTCTTCTTCTTCTTCTTCTTTTGTCCTACTGCTTTTGCTGTGAAGTGTCACAGAGGGGAGCTACTGTAGTTCCTTGTCTTTTGCTAATTGTGTTAATGTTGTATTGCATTTCTGTAGTTTCTCTTCTATTCCATCCACCCGTCTCTTTCTTGGTAAGCCTCTTGCTTTGCAGCCTGCTGTTCTCACGTAGTATGCTATAGCTGTTGGCTGATTTTGTTCCACTCTGACCAGATGACCAAACCATTTGATTCTTCAATGTTCCATGGGTATCCTTTACTGACTGCTGCAAATCTCCTCCTACTCTTCTTAGTGATGTAATGATCCACTGTAATGATATATTAATATTGTAATGACCGAAGGTATACTGTAACCATAAGAATGTAAAAAAACACATAAAAGATGGGGCTAGAAATCCCACCATGGGATTTGTGTGACTGTTATGGAACACAAAGGGAAGTGAGTTATGTAATAAGTATAAACCCACTATAAACTCCGGTGGAAAGTTTTGGCTGTTATCCACTTCTTAACTTTACTCTAGTTCTGGAAAGTTCTGGCTGTTATCCACTTCTTGACTTTACTCTAGTTCTATAACCTGAGTTTTGCATGCACATCCTTTATACTAATTTAGCTTACTTGTATGCAGACTACTGGTTTCTAGCCCCTTAGGCTGATAGACCCAACTTCAGAGGTAACAGCCCTAATTATTCACCATTTTTGACATGCTTAATATGCAGATAAGTGGATCTATTATTTGTTTCCCTAAAATGATGCCCTGGAATCCTCAAGAGAAGCTGCAAACCAATCCCACAAAGGATTTATAGGCTGACCGTCCAACAATGAAGGCCATGGAAGTAATTATAGCATTAGCCTAGTTTGATACACAGATCTTGCCCTGGTAAGCATTCTCGCTGGCTAAAAGCATGTTTACGAAGATAGAACTATCATCATGTAGTAGCAGGTCCTTTGCAGAACAACGATCTCGTCACGGTCTTGCTGAAAGAAACTCGGTCTCTCATCAGCTCTCCTGCCTCATGTACTTTCATATTCAGGGAGTCACTTAAATCCTGTGCTCATCTTTGTGCTGGTCTGCCCCTGCCCCTCCTTCCTGGTACCATGCCTTCTATTATTTTTCCAATCCACTTGATATAAAAAAAAAAAAAAATTCAGCTTCCGAGACAGGATGCTGTTTATTAGCCAATCTTCCTTAATGTTCAAATCTTTACAAATGTCAGTATTGCTTCTCTTTTTTGTCCATGGTATTCTGATAATCTTTCTATGGCATTTCAGCTCAAAAGCCCGTTTTCTTCACCTACGACATACGCTGGTCCAAACAACAATTGTTAGAGACTCTGATGAGCCCAGCAGACAAAAATTAGTCATCATGATGTGCCAGGCCATGTATGTTTAGAATAAAATGAATAAGCTATCTGGCTTCCGGAAGGTACCGTTGTGCAAAAAGTATGAGCAATGGACCAGGCTGATATTTCGAATCTAGACAGAGGAAATAAAATCATGCAACTGTGAATAGACTATTTTGACAAAGTGGCAAGTCAACAGAAGTGAAGCATGACAACAGCGCTACACAGGGACACAACGCAGAACTAGCTTAACCACAAGTTACCCACAAACTGAGCGATAAACGAGGAGGGGATTTGAGTGGTAAAGGGCTATGTGCAGTGAGGATGATCTGTTTATTAACTAACAGCAAACAAGACCCTCAAAGAAACAACTGAAAAAAAAAAATCCACAATTAATAGTTTATTTAATAAAATTGAATAAAAGCAGCAGGTTTTTAACTCTTTCAATCCCAGGGTGTTTAGCATCAGAGGGTCAAGGGATAATAAAGAGAAACATAAAATTGGCACATCTTGCATTCATTGAGTTTCTAGGTAGGACCTGTAAACGTATGGTGCATTCTTTGGGACTGAAAGAGTTAACTGCATTTAGAGAAAAAACAGACACACGGGAGATAAGCATGACAAATAGCCACGTTTTCTGGGTTCTCTACCTGTAGTTATGGGAGCTGTAGTAGCACAGTGGCTAGATACTTGTCTGTAGGCCCAAAGATACTGCTTTCAAATCCACAGCGATTACCCCCCCCCCCCCCCCCCATTTCCCCGACCTTGTCTCCTAGACAAATCCAGCCTAATATGAGTCCCAGGAATTGTCTTGAGAGGAAAAGGAGGCTTGCATGATGCTGACCACATATTCCACCAAGTACCAACTGGTCTATTAAAACACGAGTTTAGCATCAGATGTCCTATAGGAGCTGATGCGGTGTAGCGGCTAGACACTTGCTTGCACATCCGAAGGTCGTGGGTTCAGGCAGAGGGAACCAGATTTTTCTCAGGAATTACCTTGGCTCCGATACTGGCCCAGCCTCAAAAGGATACCAGGTAAAGACATTGGAAGGCAGCTGGTGTAATGATGACCCCAACACCTACCAAGTGCCGATCGATCTATAAAATATAGGTCCAGTACCATATGCCCAACATGTCTGATGGCGTGGAAAAGGGTCCATTAATTTAAAGTATGACCTATGCGCCGCTGGTGTAGAAAGGGTCTTTTAATTTACTTGTAGTTTTATCCCGTGTCTAGTTTTTTTCCTTTCTTACAGCACAACTTAACCAGATTTGTTCCCACTTGTCGTGACACGGAAAGTAGGTTACGCACCGGCATGCCGTTTCATTCATAAATCTTGGACTGCTCTGTGGCGCAGAGGTGTGAGCTTAGTCTCGATTATTTCCAGGGACAATACCATAGCGGAAATGTGCGCGATGTCGCCGTTTGTCACACGCTGAGAGTCGGAGAAGCTATGAATGAATGGTCAACTTCACGACCCCCGTGTACAGACTCCCGGCGCCAGATAGACACTCGGACACCCCTGTGACCCAGAAGAGTCTAAGAAGCTATAAATGAAATTTTCGCGCCACGACAACAGTGAACAGATCCACTTAATCTTTTACTCTACCTTCGGGTGTGGAGGTTTGCTAAAGAGATCGCCTGACTACTATATTAGCAGTTTTCTCTTTGTCATTGTTCCCTTCCAGTACTCTGTCAGATGTCTTCCCAGTGAACTCTGAGTCATCCTGGAGGTCTGGTTCTAGGCTGCTCATGCCTGACCTAGTGGTCTATATTCTCCCATTCTGCATACATGTGCAAACAATTGCAACTGTGACTGATCCACCATCTATCAGTACTTTTCTTTTTGGCTTTGTTCCAGTCCAATCCTTTGTCAGTCAGGGACTTTTAGATTTGTCTATCCAGCTGACGACCCTGAATGGTTGTGGATATCTGGTTCCCTGGTTCTTGGCCTCCCATGCCTGTCACAGAGGCTGATTCTCTCCCATTCTGGATACATGTTCAAATCATTGTCACTGTCACTGACCCACTCCAGTTCTCAAGGTCTGGATTTCAAGATCATGACAAACTGTCTGGTTGCAAACTTTGTCCCCACTTGTGATTTGGACCACCTTTCTCAAACCTGAGACCTGAAGCTGGCTTCTGTGAGCAGCTGTCATTGCCCATGACTCACAACGGTAGGTCAGAACTCAAATATAGGTACAACTTAAGCTACCACTTTTTTATACTGGTCCAAGTAGTTATTTCTCTAGATGAGCCCCTAAAAGTGAACTATGATGGTTCACATTTTATACTAACGACTGAAGGCACTATTGAAGAATCAAAGCTTCCCCATCAATGATGAGCTCCAATAATGAATTACATATGAAGACAGCAAACAACATAGTTTGTCCACTTAGACAGAACAGTTTGTGAGGCTCGTTCATGCATGATATATATCAAAGAAAAGGGACAGAGTCACCGCAAGGGCTGTGGGTTTCATCTGCTTATTTTTACCAGGAAATAAAGGTATTGTGGACAAGGAAAAAGCAGACAGTCCTGCCAGAAAAAAATCAGTGAAGACCAAGAAGAACAAGGCTCAGTGGGTTGAACAAGTTTCATGTAAGAGAATAAGCACACGGGTTGCAAGTAAAAAATATATAAACAAATCCTCCCATTTCTTGAGTTCCACAACTTACCTAGCACCATCCATTCTCATGTCCAGCGGCCCATCTTGACTGAGCGAGAACCCACGCTCTGGCCTGTCGAACTGCATGGATGATACGCCGAGGTCAAAGAAGAAGGCATCAATAGTTCCAGGCTGGATACCATGTTCATGAAGATGAACAGGAACCTCAGAGAAACGACTGAGGACTGGTGTAATCTTGCCTTGACTGGTCAGGATAAAAATTTGTTTAAAAAATTGTAAAATGAATATACTTCTAATGGAAAGTGACATCATAACACTGCAAATATAACTGTAAGTTCTCATTCTCTCTCAAAGAACATCAAAGAGTTTGTATACTTCATTATGTAGAAGGTCCTTTAAGGAATCTGACAACCAGCCTGAAAGAAACCCGGTCCTTCATTTACTCTCCCAGCTCATACAACTTCTCGCCCAAAATGTCTCTTATGTATGATGTCCTTCTTATACAGTACCATAGGCTCCATTACTGTCAGTTTTTTACAAGCCAGTGAGATGTCTTATAAGGCCAAAGCACTTCATCTTCCAAGACAAGATGCCCTTTACAAGTCGGTTTGATGTTCAAATCTTTCAGAATGTCAGTACTTCTCTTCTTCTTAGTCCATGGTGTTAAAAAAATCTATAGCATTTCAGCTCCCATATTTTCTTTCCTTAATGACTGCAAGGCAGTCCGTGACTCACATCAGTATGTTTCTACTGGAAAGATGTATGGTCTCAAAATAATGACTTTGATTTTCTTGATGGTATACAACAATAGGCATTTAATGTCCTTTAATCTTAAATTAGTTATTCTTAAATTTCTACTGGTAAGATATAGTCTCCTTTTTCCTTCTTCTTCTGAACAATCGCTGGCTGTAAACTGCTGGTTCCTCGCCTCTCAAACAGACCCTCACATTTTAAAGAAAAACAAAAAACTAATTGCCTTGTATGAAACGCTTGTTAGGGAGTCAGTGGCTCTATTATTTTCTGCCAAAATCTGCGCCCCAGAACCAACTCAGGGAAACATGTACTGTGTAACAAGACACAGAGTGATTTCTGTATTTAAGTCAACATTCACAGTAAGCTAATATAGCCACATCATATTTAACTATTGCTAAGTCTGTTATTGGAAAAGTTACCCAAAAATGTATGATACAACCTTTTTATGCACTCTCTATTAGACATTGTGGTACTAGAGAGTGCAAAAAAAAGGACTTACCTTGAATGTAAAAAAAACAACAACCCAGAAACAATGGTTATATCAAAGAAGCAGATACAAAATGTGACATAGCAGTAGAAGGAAAAGTGCTTAACCAGGTCAAAAAATGCAATTGTTTGGGGACATTCATAACATCAGATGGACAATGTGCAACATAAGTGAAGAGCACAATTGGCCAGGCAAAGACAGCATTTCAGAAGATGAAAAGTATCTTATGTAATAAATCACTCTCATTAAAGATCAGAAAATGAGTACTGAAATGTTGTATGGTAGTAGTAATTCTTGGAATGTGAGCAAACAAATTAAAAAGAGTTTGGAAGCAACTGAGATGTGGTTTCTGGACTGCATGAATAACTAACAATATCTGCCTAAAAATGGCTAATGAAAGTAGAACATTGTTTATAACAATGAGAAAGAGAAAAACAAAGTTCCTTGGTCATGTGATGAGAAAAGGAGCAATGGTATTGTGGTGACTGGAAAGATCATTGGTAGAAGAGGCAGACCAAGAGAAATGATGGTAGATGGCTTTAGACAGAGGCATGGAGAAATATCATCAGTGGAACTGATTCAGAAAACTAAATACCGAGACCTGTGGAGATGTATGATCGCCTAAGTCAGCTGGCAAGGCACTTGATAATGATGACACATCCCCCACCCCCACAACAAACAAACAAAAAAAGCAGCACCAACAACAGCACTGGGTAACAGGACTAGTGGTAATCTTAACAGTTTTAGAAGGGAACCCACAATAAATCAAAAACACGCAAAAAAGCAAATAGCAAAAATTTATATATATATTTTAAAAATATAATGAACAAACTAAGTAAAAAATTACCTTCTTTTTTCAGCTGCTATCTTCAAGGCAATACTGTTTGCAAATGTCACAATCAATCCAAAACACAAAAAAGCAGGTATGCGTATAAAAAAAAAAAAAATATAATGATCAAACAGTCAAAATTTACCTCCTTTCTTCAGCCGCTATCTTCAAGGCAATACTGTTTGCAAATGGGTCTCTGTCGGAAGCAATGTAATGAACATCTGGGGCAGCTTTCAGTATTTCCTTGGCATGGCCCCCAGCACCAAATGTCATGTCCACGATGACCTGACAAGTCCAGAAATGCCAACATTAAATATACACAGTATATTTGATATATATATATATATATATATATATATATATATATATATATATATATACACACACACACACACACAGTATATTTGATATATATATACACAGTATATTTCATATATATATATATATACAATATATCTGATATATATACACAGTATATTTGATATATATACACAGTATATTTGATACATATACACAGTATATTTGATACATATACACAGTATATTTGATATATATACACAGTATATTTGATATATATACACAGTATATTTGATATATATACACAGTATATTTGATATATATACACAGTATATTTGATATATATTCGAGGTTAGTTGCGTATCCTTTACAGGACGTTGCAGAACCAACCCCATCAGCCCCTGGCTGATGTGCGGTTTCACTAGGCAAATCTACGTCCAGTAGTTTGCCATTGCTTTCTCGACGGTCGGCTCCCTGATACCACTGTCAAAACCAACGCAAGGCGTATGGCCCACAGTTGGGATCGAACCCGGTACCCCGGCATTACGAAGCGTTCTACACCTCCAAGCAGAAGAGAACCAACTAAGTAAGTAAGATATATAAGGTAAGTGAATGAATTTAACAATTTCAAGATTCTCAAATACTACTAAAACTGGCAACATGCAGAAGTAAACAGCAGAAAACAGAAAACGATGGCAAGATATGGCTAAAAAGAAACCCAAAACCAGCCAAGGGGTGTGAAAGAGAAACAGTGGGAAAAAACGTGTATGTGTGCATGTATTATATATACCCGGTGGGGTTTGCATTTAAAGGGAGAGAGATAAGAGAACATAAAAAGAGAAAGAGACAGACAAGAAGAAAATAAGTTAAAGGATGGATGAGAAGATGAATGATTCTCCTAAGTGGCCACATGCTAACTGCCAACTGGCCTGTGTTGTATTCACGTGTGCAATTTTGATGGGGATTTGCCACTGGAACTAGTGAATTCAAGTTTTGTGCTACATGTGGCTAGCCATTCTGCAGAAAGATCGAGCTCTCTCAAGACAAAACCCAGTGCAACGATGTAAATTTTCTCAACTTTAAAATGGTTGTTTTCATGGATGGATCACATAACTTTCAGACAAGAGTGAAAAGCGAGGAGTGTCTGTGTTTAAAATTACAAAAAGTATTTAATGACCGCTGGAAATAAAAACTACTTGGAGTTAATCAGACAAACAGTACAGACAAATACCCAGAAAACATAGGCTGACAGTGCAACTGAAACATAAATGCCAGAATATAAGAGTTGCATACCACAACTCAATTTAGAACTCTCTTCATATTATGACATTGAGAAGCAGAAGGAGAAGTTACTTATCAAATGCAATTAATGTTGTAAATATCTGTTTAAAAAAAAGTACTACACTGTTAGAGCATATACCAGATCTTTCTTTATATCCAGTCTATGAGGCAAAATTTGTAAGCAGGATGGGTAGAGGACAAAAAAAATTTTCAAGGTGTAATTGCAATTGTACCCATCCACCCAAAATACCACACTGCAAGAGCACATATCAGACATTATTCCAGAACAATCTCTTGAAATGCTAATATCTAGAGAGAAAAATGTATTCGGGAGATGAGACACAGAAACATCTAAAGATGTAATTAAAAGTACACAAAATAAAGACTACAGTCTGTACGGCGCCTGTGGCTTAGGCACCGTGCAGAGTTTTGTAATTCTGGGGTGATAGGTTGTGAACGATTATCTTGAGTTGGTTTTGAAAGCAATGGCAAACTACTCAACATAAAATTTGTCTAGAAAAAATGCAACAGCCAAAAATATGCTGGGGTTGGTTTTGCAACGTCCTGTAAAGGATTCTCAACTTACTTGTGTCTCTAGTTTTCAAAACCTGGTCTCAAGAGCAAAGTGTGCAGAGCAAGCTATGGGGAAACATGAAGGGCCTGCAGCTGACATGCCAGTTCATAGAGGCAACCCACCTGATGGTTTGACCTGAGTATATGAAACCGAACACAAAGAAGAACAGTACACAGGTTCATTCTGAATTAATAAATACCACACTATAAAGGGCCACACTATAAAGGGCACAACTCAGGCCTTATTCCAAAAATCTCATGATATACTTTCACAGACGCAGATGTATGGTGAGAGAATAAACCTCTGCCTTACTCCATTTTGCACCTCAAACAAATTTGATGTTTCACCAGCTACTCACCAGGCTGCTTGCTGTTCATAATCCTCCAATTAAATATATTCAATGTGCATGTATACTTATGACAATATAATAGTGATAATGCACATATCTTTATACCAACCTGTCATTTGTTTTAGCCCAGAATCATGCTTGAAAAAATAATTTATTTTTGTTTTTAATAACAATAATAATTATTATAATAAGAAAAAGAAGAATAAAAAAGAAGAAGAAGAAGCTACTTATGATTAATGAAAATCATACCTGTCCATTTTTTGGTTGTAGTGCTTCCAGAACCTCTGTTACCATTACAGGAATATGATAAATCTGCTTTCCAGGTTTCTTAAACTCAGAACCCTCAGCTTCCTCCTCATCAATCTTGTCTGCAGTGATAGTGTGCTTGTTGGCATCTTTTAGCACTGCTACATTTTCATCTACACCAGCCTCTGATATTGAAGTTACTACTCCTCTTGTGTGTGGTGGGATACACTGAGGATAACACTTGCGAATCAGATCTACAGGGCCGCGTTTCAAGTGTGAGTAGTTTTTGCTTCTTTTTCTGCACATTAAACTTGCCACATGTGAGTTTTGCCTTACAGGCATAGAACAATCTTGCTTCTTGCAGCCATTTCTCAGTAGATAGTTTATATAAGGCAACATTACGGCGGCTACAGATGAGTTTTGCCGTGCAGGCATAGAACTTTCTAGTAGACAGTTTATGTTCGGCAATTTTGCCCGCACATGTTTTATGCCTGGCAGCAACTGCTGATGTGGAGCTGTAAACATCTTGAAGAAACTTCTTGGAGATGAAGACGATTCTGGGACTCTTAACAAGGTAGTCAAATTACCCCAATCAACAACTGCTATTATTTTTTACAAAGGCGAAGAACTATATGCTTACAACCATCTTGTCTTGAAAGAAAAATATCTGCAAAATATAAAATTAAATTAAATCAACGTAATACAAAAGAGTAATAATTCAGGGCATGCTGATTGTAAAAGATATTTACTAATGTACAAGCAGGGCTTTTTTCCCTGGCAGTACACAGTACTGGCACCTTTAGTTAAGCCGTATATTTTTAGCACAACTATAAAAGATACTTTGTAGTGAGTACCGGCACCTTTTCTAACCCTTTCACTGCTATGGACATGTTTAGTCAGGTGTCCGTAGACTGCAGTGGGCGACTTAGCTCATCTTATGAGCCCTTAACTGCTATGGATGAGAAAACACATATTCACTTTCCATACAGACTGCTGTCGGCTCTGTGGCTAAGTCAATGCGAACCCTTCGTAATGCCGGGTTCGATCCTAGCTGCGGGCCATGCGCCTTGCGTTGGTTTCGACATCGGTATCAAGAAAGCTGACCATCCAGAAAGCAATGGCAAACTACTGGATGTAAATTTGCCTAGAAAAACCAAACAACAGCCAGGGGCTGTTGGGGTTGGTTCTGCAACATCCTGTAAAGGATACGCAACTAACCTTTACAGACTGCTAAGGACATGTATTCTTGGTGGGTCAAAGAGCAACACACATTAGCCCCATTTAGCCATACTTGATCCATATGACCCATTTAGATATGATTAAACACTGTAGAACATGTGTTTAGCTTAGCCGGACAGCTTATCATGTTATCCTATTGCTCTGTTTACCCTGCAGACGTGGTTGGTGATGGGATATGTTTGTACCCTGAAGTTTGTGTTTTTGCACCTTAGTACTAATTCTCTTATTTAAAATGGCAAGAAATTGAGTTAAAACTTATGCAAAATTAATGGAGTATCTTTCAAGGAGTGATAGTAAAAATGACCTAAGTAAATAAAGACATTTTTCAATCTTTACGACATGTTGGCTATAAGGTGCTAGCCTTCCACTAAACTGGCAAGTAAGCAGGCTCACCACTGAACCCGCAAGCACGCATGTCAGATACCTAACCACTAAGTAAAAATACTAGCCACTGAATCTGTAAGTAAAAATGACAGCCACTGAACCTGTAAGCCAAAAAACCAGCCACTGAACAGGTAAGTAAAATTGCTAGCCCTTAAACCAGTGAGTAAAAATGTCAGCCACTGAACTAGTAAGTAACAATGCTAGTCCCTGAACCTGTGAGTAAAAATGCACTGAGCTACCACAGAACTGTTATACACGAGAGATATTTTAAAAACATCCCTCCCATAAAACAATAAAATAAAAGAAGAGGTGAGGGTTGTCCCTAGCAAAACTAGCAGTTATTATAAAACAAACTATTAAAATCAAATGGACAGATCTGTGAAATAAAAGAACAAAAATGACAAATGTGTGCAAAGTAGTAATGATTATTATCATATTAAGTGCACTTACTTTGATTACAAAAGAGAGATGATTACATTTTAAAAAATTTCCCTCGAAGTCGGAGTACATCTGCCCGCGAGGCAGAGAACAGCCAAACGGTTGTACAAGCAAAAATCAGGTCCAGGTAAAAGCCAAAAGTCCAAGCGGACGATTAACCGGGACCTTCCGCTGGAATTCACAGCCGGTGAACGAAGAAGAAGATTTTTAAAAATCATAACATAAGAGAAAAAGGTAAAGAACTCTTTTCATAACACTGGTGAACTGGACATACAGCGCTAGACTAGACTTATTTTCTGTACAGCCCGAATGGCACTTAATGGGTTGTGACTTGTTCAACAACATGCCAGCTGAATTTACTTCCTGGTACCTAATTCAGCCTTGGTCAGCATGATAGCCCTAGAGCAATTATTAAACAAAAAATTTAAGGATTCTTTCCATGTCTTCTGGCATATAAAGCTAGACCTATATTTTATAGACCTATCGGCACTTGGTGGGTGATGTTGTCAGAATCATGCCGGCTGCCTTTGCTTCCCAGGACTCTACCTGGTACCCATTTCAAGGCTGGGTCAGCCTAGAGGCTAAGGTGATTTTTTTTTAAAAGTCCAGTACTGTCAAGATCTGAACACACGACCATCTGATCCACAGGCGAGATTACCCTGAAACCACTGCGACATAGTACAGGCACTACACCAGATCGAGACATTGATGGGAATGGTTACTCTCACTGAGGGTCTTTTATCACGACATGTACCCAATAATAAAAGATCCAAGCTATCTCAACCGATAGGAGTGTTACGAACAGAGGGTAATGGTAACCACTTGAAGCCAAACACTGTTTTAACATAACACCTGACAGTGATTGTAAAGGACCATTTTACACACCTTCGGGTGTATTGAGCATATATATATAGGGCTAGACCAATATTGTTTTAACTGACCAATGAACCCTCATTGTCAATTATGAACCTCTTTTAATTACAGTGAAAAGGCGAAAAACGGACATGTAATAAGATCTAAAAGCCTCTACAAAACAGTACTGCAGGACAGTAGAGGGAAGGAGGAGAAGAGGCAAATCAAGAAAGACTTGGTTACAAAATGGGACTGACTGGACAGGCCTCAGGCATGCAACCATGAAGTTCATTGCAACTGACCTCCAAAGGTGGAGAGAGCTGCTCAGGCAGTCAACAGAAACTAGTAAATCAATGACACGCAGTGTTAAGAGATGATGATGATGAATTAGTACTCGGAGGGCGGTGTGGTCAACACCACTTCAGCTGCCATTGCTTCCCAAGACTGTACGTAGTGTCCATTTAAGGTTAAAGTCGACCTGAGAGCCAAGGTCATTTTTGAAAAAAGTTCGGGTCCGTCAGGACTTGAATCCACCACTTTCCTACCCACAGGCGAGCGTCTAACCGCTACATCACGGCGGCTCTCAATAGTGATTAAACATTCGAAAATCGCACTTAACCTCCATAACCTGGATCTACACACCAAGTTATGCGGGCACAAAGGAAAATGAGCGAGCGGACCAACTGGCTAGCACTGCACTAAGGACTGTGGGAAAAAGCATGGACAGAGCAGATGTTGTCAACACTGTACGGACTGGGCAAGTGGATAATAAAGGATCCCTGACACTAACATAATGAAGAATCCTTGACACTAACATGATTGCATGACATGGGAGTAAAGCATAGTGAAGCACGTCTTTGCCGTCTTCGAGGCCGATATAGGAGACAATATAACCAGCTTCTCATAGGAACAATTAGTAGAAGTACTTTGGAGTGGCTGCTGCATCGGAGGACTGAGCACACATGGGAATGCCCAATGTGCAGTGACGTCGATTGTGATAATACAACATCTTGTAGGGAGTCGGCAGTCCGAAACCAAAGTTCAAGGTGTCTCCTTCGTGCCAAAGAACTGCATGGCTGTTGGGTGAACAGTCCTTAACTAAGCCAGTCAGATCGTTGTAGGGGCGACGCTTGCTGGTGGATGTAATGTCCTAAGTCCCTTCCCTAGCTAACAGTGAAGGTACTGCTTGGGTGACCATTTATTAACCCTCACTTAATGCTTCAGGTCAAAATGGACGCTAGGCATGGCCACTCTTTTGAGCCGTGGCAATTTTTTTTTTGCTTTTGCCAGACAGTGGCCGTTGTATTTTTGCTCCATTTGTAGACTGGAAGGATATAGTTTTGTTGCCCTGCTTCTAAGCTGAGTGCATGGCATGACACTGTGAGCTGCAGATTTCATTTGGAGTGTTTTTTTACTGTGACTAACATGGTGGTGTGAATTGCAGATTTAAAAAATGGCGCGATGCCGGTTGGCGCAATATTGGAGGTCCCATTATGTAATTAAAATTGATCTCGTTACCAGCCAAACAATGGATGATCAACAGCATTTTCATCCCTATGTTATGTTATCAGTGCCAAGTGTGGACAATGAACAAATCACATATGCAAAAAATAACTACGTGTGAAATGCGATGTCTCCGAAGAGTCACCAACAATACATGAAGAGACAGAGTCACTGTCACAAACGTCATCATTAGAGACAAAGTTGGAACAAGAGCATGCATGAAACATATTGAAAGACAGAGAATGAAGTGGTTTGGCCATTTAGTAAGAAGGCAACCGTCAGATTGCCTATAAAGCCTTTTACAGTGGAACATCGGGAAGAAAGGCCAGAGGAAGACCCAGGAAAAAATGAATAGATGGAGTAGCTGAATACGGCCAGAAGATCCAGAAAACTGTCACTCAAATTACGCGAGAGGCACAAAACAAATATTTTAAACCACGACACTGGGCTGCAACCCGTGAAGAAGACAATAGATAGATAGATAGATTCAGTGCACTCATTGATGACTTTTAGAATATAAATATTACTATTACGTTGTAAAGCTCCAATCTGTTCCACTTTTAAAAATGTCCGAAAGCTATACCATGAAAAGTTTGTTTTAATCTTGCTCAACCAAAGGTAAGGTAATACTC